CTTAAACCTGACGAACTTCAAATTGAATTAAAAAAACTTAACGTAAAAACAGTATTTATAGACTAATATCAGATAATAATGAATACTTTCTTATAAAAAATGGAATATATTTTAAATGCCCCAACAGAGTTGAGTTGTTAACTTACTGTGACCAAATTTAATGAAGCAATGTTCAACCACTGTATAGACTCTCATGAATAAACTTTCAGTGATCAATGTTTTATTTAATGTTCAGTTAACTTCTCAATGAAATTAATGAAAAATATATTTCTGTCATTATTTTACTTTAGCTGGTAAGAAAGCATGCAAATAGTTCCAGACGTATATATCATACTTCAGTCACTTCTATAAATAGTATGGTTTTTGTCATCCCACACTCATTTCCCCACATTTTTGTAAGTCTGTGTTTAGAAGTACTCCAGGAATATCATGATACCTTGAATGAATAAATACATATCCATTTTAGTGTTTTGTACCATTTGTTGTCTGTATTTCACATTCGGAAAGATGAAACATATGTCATAAATTCGGTGATAAAAAACATCTGCTTCACTCAATTTATTTCACTCGGTCTTACAAATGTTAGTAAGAGAGTGACAGAAAAATCATCTAGATATCATTTATTGGATGATCTAGCCAGGAAAGTTTTATCAGTCAGTGAATTCTCTATTTTCAAAATGGGTTTTGTGGGGAGTTTTAGAAATTTCACAGGTTGAAATCATGAGTCAGTTGAAGCTAGACCACCATTGAAAACCTGGAAGCACTGGACGGCCGTTTCGTCCTGGTATGGGACTCCTCAGCAGTGCGCATCCACGATACCGCACTGCTGAGGAGTCCCATACCAGGACGAAACGGCCGTCCAGTGCTTCCAGGTTTTCAATGGTGGTCTAGCTTCAACTGACTCATGATTTCAACCTGTGAAATTCTCTATTTAATTTGAACACTTGAAAGATTTTCTTAAACAGATTATGTTTACTATATTAGTTACATTTAGTGGTACACATCTGGTGATTATTTTGTACTTTATATCTTAATTGGGCAACCAAGGAAAAATAGGAAGCGATGGATAGCTTTTACGGTTTAGGGAATTCGGGACTTACAGTAATACCTTAACCTACAAGCTATTAAGTCAGTATTCAGTGGTTCACATTCCAAACTTCACTCAAGTTTCAGTGTTGTACAACTGTTTAGCAATGCTATTGATAAGTAGGCTAATTACTTCGAATGTTTGTGAATTTCATTGGTAAAGGCTTCTTGCTTTATGGTTATTTGTCGAATAATAATTTCTAAATCACAACTCTTCAAGATAGGACCATCTATGTACATTACTATAATGATTCACGACAGCGAAAATCAACATGTTAAAGTGAACAATTATTTGATCACTGAGTGGTGACCAATATCATCTTTAATTAGTCCACTGTCGTTCAATTTGCGGTGCGGCAACTAGTCTAAGTAAGACATCTTCTATGCTATGCTGAGATATTAGGTGGTTAGTCGTGGTCAACAGAGTTTCCTAGTGACCCACTTGAACTTCCTAACACAGCACATATTAGATGTCTAGTGAAACGTATTCATGAATGCTGAATGAATGTATTCAATGACATTTATTAAAAGCTTAGTTAATTTTGTGAATATTTGTATCCCAACTCACCGATTAAGGAGTACAGCACTTGAAAAGCCTTGGATTCTATCCTTTGTAAGAATGCATAAATTATATCAAAATTAAACTTTTTTAACTAAGGTCTAATCAGTCAAACTGTTGATAAGTTTCTACTAACAAATCACAGTCATTTAGATTATTTCAAACATAACTTAAACGTTTAACGTCTTTTAAATACTTTTCACCCTATTGCTGTCAAATTTAAAGAGAGCAAAACAAAAATCTGGGTACAATACCATGAATCCATTTTATTTCTTCAGGTTATCGTCAGGTGCATACGACCCATAATATTTTAGCATTAAAATTATCATAGAACTTAACACAGTTATACAAGCGCATTTAGTGATAAGTGAATACATATCATTGCAATGGAACAAAGATTATAATGAAGTTAATGAGATTGGAAAAATATTTCAGATGAATATAGCGTGGGAAAGAAGATTGTAGAATATCGAAAGAGTAGCCAGAGATAACAGACTCGAAAGTTCTGTTGATTGAGTAATGAATTTGAATTTTAAAACATTCTGGATTGCAAGTAGCTGACGATGATGGCCCAAGGAAATAGAATGAATTCATGTTATTCTACTAAAATCTTCGTTTTTGCTCTCTTCAGGAAAATAAAGGAAACTAAACATGAAATTTCTGAAAAAGCGCCTGCAATCATTTTTGCCGCTGGTAATAGTATGCTGTAAAATTATTGTGAGAGGTGACTAAAATTTATTTATTTCATGAGTGTCTCGAGTCATGCTGTTACCCCAGTCAGTTTGTAAAATGTTTGTTCTCATGTGAATTTCAGCTTTCACTCAAATATCTTCGACCTTCCATAAAATTTTACATTGAATTGAAGAAATCGCTTATCAAAAGTTCAAGAACAGAGACCACTGTCTTTGATAAAGTAGTTATTGTTTAAAATATCGAGTTTAAGATAAACTTTATTAAATTTATCCATTATCTGTAAAGCAAAATATGTAAGTATTTCCACGCAACATTTTCAAAGACTATTTTAAAGCGACACCAATGTCAAGGAATTTCAAAAAAACCCTAAAAATGTCGTTATAATCTACCAAATATACAGTTAAATAAAATAAAAGCTGGAGCTTTATCTCTGGGATTTAAATTCCGTATCCTAAAAAGGATAATAGAAAGAGTGATATAGAAACTCAATTTAGAAATTTGAGGAAAAGAAGGGCTGGTTGACATCCAAACTAGTTGATATAACTAACTAATACCTCATCTCACCCATACCAAGGTCAAGGAGTTTGTCTAAAATCATGTGATAGCATCTTGATGCCTTAGGCAGAACGAAAAAGTAATGGTATTACTATCAGATAAATGTTCCGATATTGTTACTAAGATGAAGTTCATTTCAAAAATCATTTAAGATTCAAGGTAGATGAAAGTAACACTAACTTAATTGATCCAACAGAAAAAACTCACGACTGCATTAAGAGAACTACTGAAGAATGACTTATAAAATGTTTTATAATCCCTCGTACAATAGAGTTGGGTCTCAGGTTTCTCGTTCTTCCCTTATATGTGGTTTACCAAAGGTCCATAAACATATCTTGTTTAGGCCTATTTCGCTAATGATTAATTCACCCTATCATAAAGCTGAAAGGTGGGTGGCAGCGAAATCAAAATCGGCTCGTCAAGGATTTGCTCAGAGAACAAAACTCCATCAAAATCATCCACCTGATCTACAAATCTTCCCTACCGTCTCAAAAGGATTAACTACATATGGATCAAAGGGTTAGCTACAATTTGCAACAATTTTGAATCACACAAACATTCATTGTAATTCAGCAATATTTTTGACGTAATATCTTTATTTACCACAATATCTTTTCTTGTAACCATTAACACAATTTATAGAATTCTGACTTTAAACAGTATCAAGACTCAAAGGGCTGCTAATCATCTGTACTAAAGGTGTTCAGTTTCAGTTTGATAACATTATATACAGTCAAGCAGATGGTGTAGTATTGGAAAGTCCTTGCAGATACTTTCATGGCTAATCTTGTAAACCCTGAGTTAAAAAGTGAGATAGAAAATATAATGTATTATTTAAGGTATGTTGACGACACTTTCCCAGTACGTAATTATTAACAATATCCAACATACTTTCTGAAGCTTTTAAACACAGCTTATTAGAATATCCAATTCGCTATGAAATGTGAACGATAACAAGTTCCGATTTCTTGATATCATAGTAAATGGAAGAACGATGAAAAATTCAACCTTCAGTTTGTAAAAAATATATATGAACGAGAGTTTCAATAGCTTTTGTTCAGCCATCCATAAAATGCTAGTGGTCAAAAAATTACCTCACAGCACGCAAGTTATTTCCTGCCCATGCGCTAAAAATGGAGCTAATGAATATTTAAAAGAACTCAAGAAGCAGCAAGCATCTACAGAAGTCTGCTAATAATTTAGGTTAGATACTGCGTGAAACCGTGAATGATGTAACTGAATAATAATAATCAACTCTAGGACCAAAAATAATTAAAATACTTATACATACTGCCAAAACTGTTTCATTAATATCACTATTCAAAAATGCAACTTAGCAGCTGATGATCGGATGCCTCAAGCACTAAGCCACAACCTTTGTCAAAAATAATGATCCTAGCTTAGCTAAATAGACAAGCTAATTGATCATTTTACAGTAATCAGTACCAATGTTGGTCGTATTTCTTTAGTCAAATTTTGGTAATTAAGTCAAAAAGCATATACCTATGATTCACTCAAAGGTCAAATAATCAAGCACAATTTGACTAGTAATAGGTAATTAATATTAGTTAGAAATAATGTATAGGCTCATAGAAACGTAATTTTAATCTTTACCCAAGATTACCATTTACGATTGTCTGTTCAGAATATGTTTTCACACTTTATATAGTTGTAATCGCAGAATACATTCACTAATCAAATCGTTAATCAAATAAGAACACGGGGAATTAATTCTACTAGCTATTGGTTTTGTATACAAGTTTACTTTCTTTCAAAACAAAAAATTCTGATGGTTAAAAAGGATACTTTATATCTCATAAAATATACATAAAAATTTAAAACAATAAACAAGTAATGAATCACAGCCGTGGAATTAAAGTGTACTTTTAAAAAAAGAGACAGGGATCGTTTCATTCACTGGAAATTCATACAAATACTCACATTGAAAATGGACATAACGATTGGTATAAACGTTCCAAAAGTAAATTGTAGGAAAATGTTTGTAGAAAATAGTTGAAATCCGAAATTTTAAAAATTATCATAAGGTTCGAATTAGTATTAACATTCTCATTTTATTTTCATTGAAAATATTCGATAGTTAGCAATAGATGGAAAAAGACATAATTTAAACAATAAATAGTCAAGAGATAATAGCGCGATTAATAAATTTCGAAAGTTTTCAATGGATCTATGCTGTGCAAACGCTCATGTAAGTATGCTGTTATTGATAATTAGTGATAGTTAAAGAGTTGTTGTCCGTTCATTATGATCTATACCTTCATTATCATAACCTTCATCGGTCATTTTACTGATTTGTGGTTTATATACTTCATATGCATTGACTTCTTCTTTTAATTGTAAAATACGTTCAATTTCCTTTTTGCGTTTCCGTTTTTTTCTAATTTGTTTTATCGTGTATGTGACAAAAAATGCTACGGTAGTAGCACATCCTATAGTAAATATTACGATGCCAATAGTCATTTTAGTTACTGCACCTTCATCTTCGCCTGATCCCCATAAGCAACCACCAATCAATAAACTCAATGTTGATATGATAAATAAAAAGAATAAAGCTGGCTCTCCTTCAAATAATAACATTTTGAGTTCAATAGCAAATATAACAATAAATTACAAATGTTAATGATCAATCCATATTTTGTCGAAAATTTCACAAAAGATTCTTGATTCTTGAAATAGTTGTGTACATAGAACGAATATTGATCTGGTCCTTCCAAATGAGTCGTGCAGCAAAAATGAACGTTTTCAAGTTTCAGTTTGATTGAATTATTATAGACCAATAAAATTCACGTTACATGACTACTAGAGCAATCATTGATTGGTTAATTTTAGAATAGAAGACATTAATGTGATAATTGATTGGCACATTACGAGTATGTTTTAAAAAATATTTTTAAGAATGATTTCATATTTGCGTGTGTGTATTAGTAAAAACGATTTGGTCAGGTCGCCTTATTATTTAAATTAGTTGTGTACAGTTCATATTTTAAGTTCATTTGACTCTAAATCCATTCATAATTTAGCTGATTATTACTGAAAGGAATCGCTCTGTGATAATCAATTTAGTATGAAAACAAATAAAACACTTGTCTATATTAAGATACTATGATTGGTAGAAATGTCTGACCTCTGACTGTGTATTTAGTAAACAAACAACCCTTTGAAACAAACCTATAGATTTATAATTGCATTTATCTATCTCGTAGAACAGCTACAAGTGTTGTAACCAACAAATATGATTTGTTAGTAAAGTTGATTGTTTCGATAACTGTTTTATTATGTGCCTTTCACATATATGTTTACTTAATCATTCGTTTTTTGCGACGTAACTTCTAGCCATACTTTCTGAATTTAACTCGAGTGAAATAACAATACAATTACATATTCAATCAGCTGATAAGTGATTCTGTTATTCAAAATCTAATTGGTAGGGCTAAACAACATCAGCTAATTATGATCAGAAGGGGATTTTGTGTATATTATAGTAATTTCAATAGTTGAGATCATGAGTCAATCAAAGTCAGACCACTATGGAAAACCTGGTGATCAGTGGAGTTCAACCAGGTTTGTTGTGAGATAGTAACTCACTGAAGACAATGGTGGATGTGTCGCTCGATTTCGTGGATTGGTTGAAGTTAGACATTAACACCGTTGGATGTCAGCCAGCTCAGTGATCTACAGTTTAAGCGCTTATGTGCGAGACTGGTAGGTCCTGAGTTTGATTCTCGCGAGATGGGATCGTGGATTCTCACTGTTGAAAGAGTCCCACAATAGAAAGAAACGGCTGTCCAGTGCTTCCAGGTTTTTCATGGTGGTTTAACTTTATTTGACTCACAATCCCAAGTATTGAAAGTTAAATATCAGTTCAGCTTTATCGATAACCCTAATGATTTTATGAAAAACCGATTGAGCAATCATAAACTTAGTATCTATATTTAATTTTTATTGATTGTGTTTGGTGCACACAATTCTTTCTATAAATTAAACCAATTATTATATTCAATAATATTGTGTTTAAAACATTGATTAACCAGTCACATTACCTTTCAACTAGAATTTATTCTGTTGTCATGATGTGACTGTTAATTTTATACTACTGAAAAAAAAGATAAAAATACTTCTTTTATTTAAAGAATTTGTGATTAAATAATTTATGGATTTTAACTGTGTTAGTGTCATATGTTTATTGGACTGTTGGTTATGAGATGGTAGAGATAATTTTTTATTATTGTGTTATTTCAATTTCCAGCTGATTTTTCTTTAATATGGATAATACAGTAAACAATTTTCTATTAAAAAAAATAGGTGGATATTCGCTGCAGTTTGCTAGTGAGTCGTGAATGTTTAAGGTTCTATTGTTGATGAAGTTAGAAATGTTGACTGAAAAAAAAAACTAGTTTCATTCAAGGTTTAGACAACTTTCTCATTCTAACTGATCTTCTTTAATTAAATTCAATTCGTAATGTAAACTGCATATTAAACAGTAAATATACATATACTATGAAGATCATTGAGAATTGTACAATCAATAATAGGTACAAATATTTTCAGCTACAATCTATTCAATTGTGAATATGTCAGTATAAATGAAGTAACCGATTTTCATTGAGAACTTTTCTAATTAGTTGAAAAAAAGTCTATTTTGATGGTTTTAACTCAGGTTTATGAGTTTTTACATAATATTTCATACAATATTATTGTCTCCCATCTCCTGAGCACATTTTGGCTTAATAAAATATAATTCAGTTTGTATTGTATTAAATATCATTTATGTTGCATTGAAATTTTTACTGAAATAAATTTTTGAAATTTCATTATTGGTCGTATTTCGACGAAATAGGATCATTGAAGTATCATTAAACTGTTGAATATTATAGTTGTTTGCATTTAAATAATAGCAAAAACTTGATTTTCTTATTTTTAATGATAATTCATATGTTATTCAAGTGAATTATGTGTACTGAAGAAGAAGGTGATAGCTTTCTGATATCAACTATGCTCAGACAGTAGTTTTAGAAATTTAGGTGGACATAGTGTGATGTGTGCTACTTATATTGACATAAGTAGTATATGACGCTACTCGTGAACAGAATGTCTGACAGCAGAGAGACAAGAGGATCGAACAGTAAAGAATGCGAACAGAATGCAATTTGTATAGAAATGCAAGAACAATAAAGTTTAAGTCATTATGAGACAAACGATCTACATTTTGCAAATTACGTAATTATTACTTGATTGTTAGATTTTATTAACAAGTCCTGCAATTTTGTGTCAAGTACATTTGACTGTCCTCACTGGTGTTCTTGTTCACTACGATAGTAAAAATGCTTTTTGTATTGCAATAAGATATTTTCTCGAAAAGTTAAGTTAACATGTATTCTAGTTGATAATCTCAAGTAATGTAGTGAAACTATCATTCAGTGATAATGATGGGAAATATATAGTTACAGTGTGAAATAAGTCAGTTATTCTGTATAGTGCATAGTATAAATGATTCATGTGTTCTACAGCATTAAACTGTAGCTTAATAATATAATATCAGTATATCATTGATTGATGCAACATAGGAAACTTGTTTCGCTATAAAATAATAGCTAAACATATTTAATATGGATAGTTCAGTATTTTTAACTTTAAATTTTTTAATACTCTAATGTGTATATTTTCATCGATATCTTATTTTTAAAAAAAATTCATTCATTTGGTTTCTCAAAATATTCGAAGTTGGCCTGTTCTTCGAAAGTTTTATCTAAGGGGTCAATTTTACTCATACATATAGAAAGCACTTTATGTTTATCAGTTTTGTTTCTCGATAAGGCATCATAGTCTTGTTAAATTACTTATCTTTTGTAAGGTGAAATTTAAGATGAATAGAACTAGCTATCCAATGGGAGAAAAAGCGCATTCTGAATTCCATTAATAGCTACCGTCTAATTGTGTTTAGTAGATATCAACATTTAGTTCATTATTTCTACGTGAACGTATGTTTTAGCTAACATTATTGACTCGTGAAATTTTTATATTAAAGATGAATAATATACGGATTAGCTTCATGATAATAAAAATAAGTAGTTAATTCAACTCAGAATGTTGAAAATCGTTGTTGAATGTTCATGTAACACTCTCCTAAAATATATATTGCTTAAAATTATTACCGTCTCTGTTAATTTCATCATACACCTTCCCTCAGTATAATCACCTCAGAGCTGGTGGAAAATTTATCGAATAGATATAGACTACTTACACGTAATATCAGTAGGAACAAAATGTCATGTAATATTTTGTAGTTACAAACCCTATATATATAAAACTACACGAAACATTTGTAGTACGAATCTATAGAACACTGAATTAAAAATAGGTTCATGAGCATAAGTTCTGAATTACTCGATTCACACAGACTGCTTCTTGCATAGTATATAGGCTAGATACAGTACTGTTAAGCTTTTATACTTTAATTTGTCTAAATGTAGCCTAACATATCTGCATTTTGTTCTGTCAGACACACAAGGGGAAACACACAAATGGAATTAGTTGTTTGTATCTGATGAAATATCACCTAGCCGTTTTTCGCAAGATTTCGAACATCTCTTTGCTGCTATATTTCTAATTGTATTATAGGATTTACTCTGTGCTATACTAGGTGTATTCAGTCTTCTCTGTACCTACAAAAATCCTTTCTTAAAGGCCCAGGTAATAATTATGAGGAGCAATAAACAACAGTAGTTAGTGGACAAGAATTTACAGAAGTATATACCGAGTAATGCCTAAAACGTACAACCAGGTCATATAGTGAGTCAGGCAAAGAACTTTGTCTTCAAGCAAACTTAATTTTATTTTGAAATGCATAACAAAACCATTAATCGAGAAAATTCTCTTCAGTTTTTCTCATTAGTTACCTACTTTTCATATCAAAATAAATAATTATGATAATCGTTTTTACAAAAGAAAAATTATAAGCTAACAAAGACTAGCAGTTTTGCTACAATAAATGATAACCATTTTTATTTCAATGATTTACAATTCAAAAAATATTTTTGAATATACGCTCAAGTGTAGTTAATCAATTGTCAAGTATGGTAGACTGTTAGATTACTATTGGCAAAACTAGTTATGTAGGTTGAAACGATATCATTTGTGAGAAAAATACACTACATGTTCATATAGGTTGTCTAAAATTGACGACTGCTTCCAGGTTTTGCATGGTGGTCTAGTTTCAATTAACCCATAATCTCAGCTATTAAAATTTAGAACTGATCTTAGATGGTGGTTGGAGGTAGTCAACAGGAAACCCTGAACCCTGATTTCGTGCTACGTGGCACTCGTCAGCAAGCTGTACCTGTAATCTTGAGGGGACTGGTGCTCCCAGACGGATTCGATCCCGTGTCACTCAGAGATGTTGTCATTAGGCTATCCAGGCCGTGACCGAACTCCTGTAGGACTGAGATGTAATCACAATTGATTTACCAATGGGTGGTGATCAATGCCATGTGTGTCAATTCCTTCTTAGTGCAGATCGAATGCTATCAACCAAGTTGTAATGTGGCCACTAGTTTAGGTGACTCGACACTGCGTGCACTATGTTGAGATAGTATTCGATCTGCACTAAGAAGGAATTGACACACATCACATTGATCATCACCCAGTGACCAATCCATTGTGAGAATTGATTGTCCCAGGATATATGATAATTATTCTATTTGAAAATCATATTTTCTCGCCAATCGATATCAGGTTAAAAATCTCTTAAAAATCATGATGCAGTAGATAGATGTGTAGTCCTAAATGTGTTTGATGAGAAGTGCCTAACTAAAATTAATATTACATCTGTTTGGCATTTACCAACTCGGGATGCTTCTTCAGGTAGAGACCCTCGGTAGTGAAAACTTTATTGACAAGTCTTATATTATTTGTTTATCTGTTAAAAAAACGAATTGAAATGTACCAGAGATATGTGAAACTTTACGAAGGTTAGTTTCAGCTGACTGAATAAGTAAGTTGAAAGCTATTTACGTTCATACGAGAGTTTTTTTAAATTTATTGTAAATATTTATAGACGTTTTCATGGCAAATACCAAACAAACAAGACAATATAACCCAGTATTTTAAGATAGCTACCACTGACTGTTTAAAACCAAAACCAATACATTGTAATATCGTGCTTAGACTATTATAGTTATTTTTTGTGAAAGTGCTTTCGATAATGAATGTGAAGTTGACCTATTATTGTATGAAGATGAAATCATTCAGAAAAATATCAGTCTACAAACCGAGAAATTATGACTTTAAGGTAAGGAAATTTAATTTTACTTAGTAAAACAATTTAATTATAATAACAAATAGAAGTAGTATACTTTTCGGATATACAATTTCTTTTATTTCTGTATCATAAAACCATTTAAATTAATAAGTAGTGTACTGATATTTAGTATTTTATTTTTTAGGTATGGGTATATTTTTTATTGTTCATCTTTCAATTACACACGTGTTCGCACAATTATAACTCAACCATGTACATGATCGAATACCTGACCTTTAGATCTTACGATAAGTAGTTGATTCATATTAAAATGATCTGTATTACTTTCTTCAATCAGTTATTCATTCGAGTATGAAAACCATATGATGTCATCTATAATAGCTATTTTATTTCAAAAAGGAATATTTTGATAGCAAAGACTTCATATTAGAGCCTTGAGAGATCCATCTCAAACTGAATCATTGGCAAGAATGACAGTATTATATACTTATAGGGTTTTGAAGCAAACTGTTCAGCTTGAATAGATGGTTATCTTTGCAAACTGATATTACTATGTATGAAATTCTAAATGTACACTCTTTTAGGGTCCTTAAATTTGGAGCGGAACAACTGTTCAGTTCATCTTGGTGTTCATTGATTTTTTAATTGATATCTGTCTCTGGAAAATAAATAATAATATGCTTAAACAATTTATCATATCATCTTTAATTTAAATTTACTCATTTGTTAGTGTGAATGGCAACGTTAGATGGTGAAGTGATATAGTTACTTAACGAAAGAAGTGAATTAACCATCGAACACTATATCGCATGATAACAATAAAAGGCAATTTAATGTTTACTAACCATTTGACTTTCAGGAAAAATTGGTATCCATCACTTTATGATTATCAAAATGGAGTGAAGTTCCAAGTAATAGGGTAAATGTTTGCTTTCATACGAGAAGGTAAAGTATATTTATGAACTGTATGTAGAAATTCAGAATTAATGTTAAAAATTTAGCTTCATGATGTATTGATCTATCTGTTGTCGGAGTAATGTGGCGCAAATCACATAAGGACACTTCTGTTGGACGCATAACTATTTCAAGTAATCAACACGAAGCTACTAATCTGACTTTCGTGACAACCGAAATAATGAGAGAACTAACGACTCCCATGGGATGTGATCCCGTGTCATGGTGTGCATAACTAGAGATGTTACTTTGTGATATGCTGTTAAATTTCTATAGTACTATTCTTCAGTTCAAAAACAATGTGCAGTCATGAATTTGAAAGCCTCCAACAAACCGTTAGTAAAACATCGCACTTTCACTCTAATTTTATCATTACTGACTGTAAGTTGTAATATAAATTAAACTTAAGTGATATCGATTCAATTTCATGAGTGTGGCTTCATATTCGATTGAAGGCTATGTAACCGATGATCGTCTAATATTACGTAAAAGATCAGTCCGTTTATACATATAAGTGACTTATTTAAAATTAAAACACAGAGCAAAGAATAACTTGTAGTGATAATTAATTATCAATGTTTAGTAAAATTTGATACCATCGATTTAAAATCAATTGAAACAGACACACGCATGCGAATAAACAAATTTCAAATCACCAACAAATAAAAAACTTTATAGAGGTTACAAACCGACCTAGGTTAAATAGCCATAATTAACCTGAAACCACTGGATAGCTATTTCGTTCTACAGTAAAAGTTCGCGATGCCACCATTTGGGATCGGACCAAAGACCTGTCTTGCAACAGAATGCTTCACTTCTAGACAAATGATGTGGGATTTAGCAGTATACATATCTAACTTCAATCAATTCACACTGTTTTGCTACCAATTCCTATATTCTTCACTCTGTACCTTACTCGTGATCTAAAATAAAATTCGACAATCTCCTCAACCTTCATACTGAAAATGATGAACTTTTTTCTTCCCTTCAAAAGACAGACGATGATGTCCAGACAAAATAAACAGCTGTCATGAAGTAATTTATGTTATATCATTAAACTAAACAATAAAAACAATACGACACAGTTAAGTGAAAAGAACATTAAATGAATTGGGAAGCAAGTTAATTAAGTTGTTTTAAGAAAATGAAAAGAATCACATATAAACTGGCGAGATCAAACTTTGTCATCTCGTATTAATCTTTATAAGTAGTGAAGAAGCAAAATAAAAAAATCAAAAGTCTATGAATTTGAAATGTCAAATAACAATACATGAATATATATTTCTTCTAAAATATCCAATAAAACTAAGCATAGCTTTTCATTATAGAGAGCTAAATGGAAAAGGGATGACAATAGGCAATATGGCTTTCTAAGCATACACCCTATATTATTATTAAACACAGATATACTCAAAGTGTTCAAAATAAACTACGTTAACACAGACAAACAATATTTTTAAATATGTTTATATATTTATATATATAATCTGAAGAGTGTACTCTAAAAGTAACATAAAATTAAAACAGAACAACATGGGATAAGTTTTAATGTAGAACGATCATTGAAATGGATTAATGCGCATGATACTCTAGAGAATGAGTTATTGCAATCCTAATTATGTAATAATAACAACAATTTTATTTAAGGTATGATAATAAGTTCATGCGAAGAATAATTCATGAATTCAAATAATTGATTGTTTTTTATAATTATATCTATTTTGTCCTGAAAAGTGTTAAACAGCTGAAATAATATTTGATCTTTGGTAATGATTGATATTGTTCATATTATTATTAGCAGTAAAAGTACCAGAGCGATGAATAAGTTCACTAAACTCTTCTTCTTCGTAACCCTCCTGTCCTACCTGGTTTTCCTCTTGTTCCAGCCCAACTTTATCATTATTCTCATGATTGTTAACTTGATCGCAACGATAAGTAGTAACACAATACTTTTCGCCTATTTGTTTCAAATTATTTTTTGAGGATTGCATAGCAAAAGATAGTGAACTGTCTAACGCATCATTGTCACCATCATCATCATCACAGCTATAATCACTAGCTTTACGCTTACGAGTTATTCGACCTTTAGTGGACAATAAATCATCTTCTATAACTGAATATTTTTCCTTCATATTCATTGAAAGATTAGGTTTGGGATTATTTGATTGTTTATCTTTCATATTAGTACAATAAATAGCAGACGAGTCTAAATTATTTTTATCAACAGCAACTGAGTGGTGAATGACATCGTCAAAGGATATTTCTGTATTGTGACATAATTGCATTTGTTTATCCATAGTGTTCATAAAATATCTTTCATTTTGACGCTTCTATGTGTGAATGTGGAAGGAAACACAGATGATAACTTATGGATGGGGATAAAAAATGAGAGCAAGAAGGATACCAACGAAAGTAATAAATCAAAACAAATTTGAGATCGTGAAGATTGTTGAATTGCAATAAAGTCACACACTGACCAATGTTAGATCATCATTGAAAACATGTAAGCACTGGACGTCCGTCTCATCCTGGTATGGAACTCCTCGGCAGTGAGCATATAAAACCCGTAAGCGAAAAATGAACCTCAAACCTTCGCTTTCGCGAGCGAATTCTCAACCCCTAGATGACTAGTGACTGACTTCGACAGGAAATTTCAGGATTTTAAGTGAGGAGCCGTGACCAGTGGAGTTCAACAGTGTTGTCTGTGAGAGAGGTGCCCATTGAGGACGATGGACGTTTGTCTCGCAATATTGTTGACTGATTGGAGTTAAACCTATACACCAGTGGGTCTTGACTCAGCGGTCTAGAGATTAAGTGGTTACGGGGTCGTGAATGCTCACTGATGAGGAGTCATATATTAAGATGAAACGGCCGTATAGTTCTTTCAAGTTTTCTAAAGGTTTTCCAACTTAAATCGGTCTGTGAATTTAACGACAACAAACTTTGGTTTTAAATGAATGTCACTATCTCTGTTCTCATTTGAAGCAACTTGTACATTATTTTTCTATATATATTAATTCCACCGATTCATTATATTCAGTGCTGTTACCCACTGTAAATCTGTTTCAAGTTGCAGCTGACAATAAAAATGAAATGAAATTATTAGTTGATTTTCCTGTCATTATAACTGTTCTTGTCTTGTTTAAATGAAAAGCTAGGTCCATTGAAAAAAAGTTTTTATCTAGAGAAATTATAATTAATAACATTATTATCTTGATTATGCAAACAAAAATTAGTGATTATATTCAAGAAAACCTAACGATAACAATAAAGTTTACCTGCACGGCATCTCGCCATTGTTGTATTGTTGAAGTGGATAGTTCATGTTTTTTCTTTTGTTCACATTTACGTTTTGTACACAATACCTCAACAAACGTCAGTATAGCCCCAGCTACTAACCCCATACCAATCATGATAAATACACCAGCCATATTGGTTAAACCTAAAGTTGCTGGACTTGATTCAGTTCGTTCACAGTTATTGGATTTGATATGTATCCATTTGGTATCCAATGTTTCCATTATACCTCCTAGTTAACATTTTTTAGATTTCACCAAAAAAGAAACGGATCAGATTACAAGTAATAAGTGCTATTAAAATGTTCTGTCAAAGATGTGGAATATTTTTTTGTAGTTTTTACGGACGATATAATACTTTCTTTACTGAAAGTACCACTGAAATAGATTTTCAAAATTATTTACTTTTAAAATATTTGCTTGTTTATTTATAACAAGTCAACTCATTTGTTCCCTTTATATTTTTGTAGCCCTCTAATCTGACTCCAATTTGGTTGCATGATGATGTTAAAGAAATACACATCCGGGCTACCCTCGTATACGACTATCCACTTAATTCGCGTTAGAGAATAACGGAATAAAATAATTCAAATACGAAAATAAATTTCGAATACGTATATTTCGTGCACTCGTTGATCCGGATGGACTTTCAGGATGAAAAGTAGGGACGCTAACCAAAGCTCAAAAGGCTAGTAAGCCGACTCAGTTTGATCAACCGTGATTCAATACTTCCAGTAAGACAAAAATAAGCTACAGACACGTGATAGGTGGGAAAAGCAATGCACACACATGCACTTGTATAAAAATAGTCAAGGTTAATAAGAGAGTAATAGAAAGGTCAAAATGTGACTCAAGGAGAACGAGTAATCTGGTTTGTCCGGATGCTAGATAACCCATGTGGGCCTGACATGGTACAAGATACTACAATATAAAACTAAAAATATATTCTGGTAAAACAAATCTACCATAGAAAATATCAAAGAATGAAATTAGGATGTAACACGAATAGAAGGTAAGAGAAAGTCGAAGAACAGGATTCAGATTCATACTGAACACACGAATCTCAAACAAAATATGTTTCTTTTTGTAGCTCGACATTATGCCATGACCGTAGACAGACAACCAATTGAAATTCAGAGTAGCTTAATAGCTGCTTTATCTTAGTAGTAGTGTTCATCTACGACCCCAGGAGGGACTGAATTCCGGACCTTTTATATCTCTCAACTGGCATTTGATTTTACACCACTGAGTCGGTATTCAATGGTTTACATTTTTAGAGTCGATAAGTTTTCAAGACTGTGCAAGCTTAACCTGTTCTCATTCATACGGTTTAACGCATCTGCTAAACCAAAAGGTGATCCAATTGTCTTTTCAAAACGGAAATATAATAACTATAAGATGTTATCAACGTTAGACACTCGTTATTTGCTCAAAAATGTTGGATGATATCATCTGAGCAAATTCTTTGAAGAGAAGTATTTTATAATTATCAACTTAATATTAATGACTGCACCAAGCATTTGATAATAAATCTAACTGTATGCAATATTTCGTAAAAATTTTTTAATTCATACCGACAAATTCTTGTTTTAAACATAAAAGTTTAAAATAAACATGAATTTGAATTGAAGTTCAGTAGCAAGGGTTCTAGATATTGGTGTTAAACTCAATCAATCGTGAAATAATACATAGTTATAAGAAAGACAAAATTCGGTCAGTTTTTCTGAGTTACAAAGATGCAAAAGTAATTCTGAAGATTTTAAGCCCAAGTGGTTGCTTTTAGGGCACTGATTTCGTATAAATCATTTCATGAAAGCTTCCTGGTTGGATTATACACCTCGAAGAACACAACATTAATAAAAGACATCAAAATAACTACTATCCATAAACATATAAAATATCTCATTCTATTTTACTGATGTATGTGATGCTTAAATTTTCATGTCTAGTTAACTGTGAGGAACTGAATTAAATCCAATCGTTGACTAGTTTTAAAACAAGTAAATAATAGAAATTTTAAACAGTTGACTAGTTGGAAAAAGCCAGTTTGACTTTTAATGTATATGGATTTTACTTTGATAACAGAAGAGCTATCGGTAGTTAACTCTGTCAATTATTACTCCGTGATACTTTTCAAAGAGTTTACATACGTTTCTGTGGAATGTCTGCTTGAATGGATAATATTCTCACATCAAAGTAAGCTGCTCAACTATGATGCTGATGATAAGCCGTACAATGATTAGTTAAAATGTAACTCAAAGGAATGGAGACTTAAATTATCTGTATTCAAACTTATAATAAGTGAGTAAATTTAAGTCATCAGACTAATTTTTGTTAGCTATCTCTTTAAGTAGCACATCATAGTAATAAATCCTGACATTCGATTTATGCTTATAATTCGAGCAAGAGACTTAAGGAAACTTTTAATTCGGAAAGAATATCAGCTGTACATTGATATTCTAATTCAACATTAATTTTTATTTTCGAACTGATTCGTGGTTAAATGATTGTTTTAATTCTAAAACATCAAAATTCTTTTCTTATACATGATTGTACTTGAAAATCAAAAAGCATGCGTTTCATTTCGCTTAAAACTCATTACTTAAGTGCAAATATATATGACCACCGATTTGTGATAAATGTCATGTTTTTCAAGTCATTCAGTACCGATAGAATTCCATTGAGTAACTAAACGATTTAATAAACATGATGTCGATTATTCAAGTGTATATAGATCAGTTCTAAACCGAGGTCAGAAGCTGGTCGGATAGCTCAGTAGGAATATCTTATAATATAAAGTTTAGTAGATTGTATCTGAATTTCACGTGACCCAGAAAATTCTTCAAGATTACAGGTACGCTTTACGGATGAGTGTCAAATAAAACAAAACTTATAGCCTGGGATACAACATTTGTTACTATTTTTAAGGATTTGTATTAAATCACGTAATTTGTAACTCATCAGTAGACACTGTCAAAAATATAGTTAACTTTTTGCTGAACGTACAATGAAGACATTAGCTCGTGAAGCTAATGTATCTTTAGAGACTGATTAAAAGCAATGTCTATAGATGGTGATTAGATTCGTTTATTATCTGAAAAATATTGCTAACTTAATGTCAAGTAAATCCGTTTTGAGTAAACATTGGCCAAGACCCAGAAGCTAACAAATACACTGAAAGTTTCTGTGTTTTCTTAACTTATGTTAATTCGTTATATTGTACTTATGTTCATTACAATATAAATCCAATGTTAACTGTTACTAATCAGTAAAATTAAAACTTCTCTTCCAAAGTGCTGATAGAGTAAACAACTTACTTTCATGAAAATTTAACACTGCTTGTGACAATTCGTATAACCAGGGATTATTTTTTTTCATTACTAAGCCATAACTATTACGACCAAATACCTCACCAGCAGTAATCAATTCACAATCAATGGAAACTTCATAATTTAATCTTGCTGAATCCCATATGAAAGCTTTAAGTGAGCCAGATTTAATGGCCTTACATAGGAAAGAGTTAAAAAAAATTACGGTGACAATATTAACACATAAACAAACACTTTGATGTATTTTGTTGGAGAGAGGTATCGAAACGTCAGGCGCGCGTACCCAATTATAAAAAGTCTATTTGTAAAACCAACTTATAATATGGGTTCGACTCCCAAAGGGAGCGTCAATTCCCTCAAGATTGTACACCTTGTTGATAAGTGCCATATAGCATGAAATCTAAGTCAAACAGGGTTTGTTGAAGACAAAGTCCAACCAAGAAACATTGAAACATATTTTACACAATGTCTACTCACTTAGGCTAGTGACTGAATTGCAACTTGATCTATAGAATTTGATCAACACAAAAGGACTAGACAAACGTAATATTACCAACTCAGTGATCAATCAACTGACCATACACCACTTTTGTTTTCTTAATACCTCATTTGTGAGAGATATCTTTTGAAGTATGAAATAAATATTGGTACAAATTTTACTATGTCAGCAGATTCAGGTCCAGTTCAGTTAATCATATTTACAATATTATTTTAGCTTAGAAATTTGATACCGTTTTCTTTTTTACAAGAAATTGTCTTAGCTTAATGCATATGAGTTTACTAGCTCAAAGTACATCTCGTCTTTCTACATCTAGAAACAGTTAGTTGTCTAGAATCTACATGCTTCAATGTTGTTATCTTATGCAAAGAATACTCTGATATTTGTTTTATAAAGTTTTCTTTAAATAAACATTTTACATGTGAAAATTAATTTGATTCTACTTACTTGAATTGCTTCTTCTACTGAATCATAATTATTTGTTTCCATTACACGATACATGGTAGCGAATTCAACTTGTCGTTTAAAATACATTTCTACAGGACTACCACGAATCGTTGCAAATAGAAAATCTTTTTGAGGATTGCGAAGCTAAAAAAAACAAAACAAGTCAATAAATTGAATTACTAATATCTTATTGTTCAATGTCTCATGAGCTTCTAAGTTATACCATAGTACATCAAAGTTAACTTAAAAGTTGAATAACTCACCAGTGTTCTTCAAGTAGATTACCCTAGTACTATTTATATCAGTAAACGATGATAATATGACTCGTAAAACTGAACCAACGTTCAGAACATGAATAAAAAAATAAGAAAAATCACTTAAAATTCAAATTTCTAAATCGTTTAAGTAGCCGCTGAAATTTACGGTAATGAGCATTTTCATATCAAAGATGAATATATCATTTGGTATAAGGTTTAGGATTTTTATGTGAGTACATTCACAAATTGAAAACAAGATACGAATAAATGTATATATACAACAGAATAACTTTAAGTGTTTTATATTTGTGATACGATTGAATTTATAACATAGCAAGGACAAATTAAATATGGAATAATTCAATTAATTAAAAGTGAGCCACAGAAAACGTTACTTGGAATTAGCTTTTTTTATACAACACAAAATATATGTATCTGAAGATGAAAGTTTTGAAGTGTTATGTTTTCTGAGATGAATTGCTTAACTGTGAAGTTTTCATTGTCTTTCTAGACAACATCATCATTACATACTTCAAAAGGAATTGAGCTATTAGAGTTTCTGCATGGCTGACCAATAATTTGTTTTGTTGAATCAGCATTTTGTTAAGTAGATATACCAGTTTTTCATTCTTCAAATCCTCTTGAAATGAATGAGTTCTTGTCTCTCATTGAACCATGGTCTGTTGTTAATGATCTCACACATAATTCTAGATGTCAAACTGTTAATTTTAGCCTGAGTCATGAACAGCACATAAACCTCCTGTTCGAATCCCATAAAGTTTGTACTATCGGAGATTTTGTAATAAAAATAGTGTCAAAAGTCATTTATATTGGTGTAAATTTATCCTCTGGTCTCTCTTGGTCTTCTCAAGTTTTATTGATATCGAAGAAAGTTTTTCGGTTGCTTTACTATACAAAGAGGCTATATGCTTTTAGCATTACTCGATACCTACGATTTGTAAGTTCTTGCATATTACCTATCAATATTCATTATCCCAATTATTCTTTCCCAGGCTTTTGAGAAGAGATTTTGCTATATTGCAAAGAGGCCTGAAGGCAGTTAGTAAGGTATGTGGAGACACTTTTGAAGTCGCTATGAATATGGTTGTGGATAGAAGTTTAAAATCTTGTAAACTTCTAGTAACTGTTGTCTTATGAGATACCAATCATCTACTTTATTCAGATCTTACTCCTTGTATTTCTCCTGGTAGGACAAGACGCCTGGATATTAGGATCCATGCACTTAAGTAAAGGTAAAAGAGCTCTAAAATAACGTACCTAGTTAATATACTATATGACGAACTGATTGAAGATGTGATCTAGTCAAAAACGTTTATGCATAAACATGTTGGCAATTAAAAGTTGCATAGAATTTTTCCCCTTAGAAATATTTTATATAATTTGAAATAGTATATTTACTTATTTCATGAATGTGTGTATGTAGCAAGTGATTGGATTTTGTAGCAGAATATATATATATATATATATATATATATATATATATATATATATAATATTAATTAAAATTATTAATAATGGTAATTTGGTTAATCGTTGTATATATTTTTGTGACGGTTATATGTACATTGAAGTATATCCTAATAATGTCTGGAAAAAAGAAAATAACAAAAGCTTCATGAGCAGACAATCCAGCTCAGAAAATACAATACTTTTAAGAAGAAGGGATTACTCTACCAGCTCTCATTGCTGCAAGAAATGATAAATTTTAATTTTTTTTTCCAAGGATTCAATCGATCCGTGATAATAATATGCTCAGTTAAACTAAAAGATAACTAATTGTATTATTATTCTAATGAAAACTTTATATTTTTATTTAGACCATAAAATTTTAGTAGAAGTATAATGTATTTAACATAGAAATCCAGATAGCGTGTATACAGATTGATCATCAGAAACTTATCCTACAGTATGAATTATAACGATTAAACAAAAAAACGGAATGACATGTTTATGATTTAAAGTCATACAAACATCCTAACTGATATAAATAAACTAGAAATACTCCAGCTTAACTATTTCCTTTTGCAGTTATTTCCTAAGTACACTTACCATAAAAATTAAAAAAATTATGTTCAAAACTGATTAGCTGCTTATAATGTTTATTCTAAACTTGTTTGAGTTAGATAACCATTGAAAACCAAAGGAGCACTAGGCAGCTGCCTTGTTCTAGTATGGGACAACTTAGCAGTTAGCATCCACGATTTCGTCAAGCTAGAGTCCACTATTTTCACTTGAACACTTTAATCACGGTTAACTATATAGGTGTATGCTTCACTCTGTTTGCACAATCTATTCCTTTTGATGCTCTCAGACCACTTTTTCCAGTTGTCTCTTACACAAGCTGATTTTATCCATGAAAATGAAGTCTAAGTTCATGCTGAAGATAGCTTTTATGTTTTATTATATAGTTTCTTCATTTAATTGCTAATTTTTACGTTACTGTACATTGGTAACTGGATGATGTATAATCAAGACAAGTTTTCAAAAACAATACAAACTGAACAATGTAAGTTTAACATTCCTATTAAATATCAAACAAGATGTTTTCGGAATGTGGGTTGTTATGATTATCAAGTGTTTTGAAATTTTCTACAGGTATTGAAATGAATTAAGAGACATACTTGTATATCTCTAACAACTTGGTATAAATACTTGACGGATAGACCGTTTTAAAATCCAAACAATCATCTTCATTCTCATGCATCTTATCATGTAGCTTATTATCAAAAAGTCTAAATATTTTATTATTACAATTAGGACTGAATTAAATATAAAAATATTTATTAAGGAACCGAAACTTACAAAGACTTAAAGATTAAAGAGTTCTTTGTTTTAGGTAGATTTCAGGTATTGTTAAATAAGGTTGTCGAGTGAATTTTCTAAAATAATGATAACATATGACTCGGCCTGGTTGGGTCTGGATAATAAGGCTACTAAGGTTCAGTTTATCAGTGTTTCAAGTATACTTCAACTGTATTCGACGCTGAATTTTACTGAAAGTAGTTTATATTTCAATGGTAAAATCATCAAAATTGTGAAAAAAGTAGAGAAAAACTTTGGAGTTGTAAACCGTCAAAAAACGAAGTAGCTAATAAATCCGGAGAAACATTTATTTAAATGCCAAATACTTTAAATCTCATTTATACAAGTCAAAAAACAAATAAAATGTATTTTTACATTATCAAGAGCAACTTCACAACAGTAACTCACTCGAACGTCATCAATTCCAGAAATAGACGCTTCAGGTCTATCCAAAACAAGAAATGCAGCCAAATTGGCTGTATAACTAGCTACTATTATCATAGCGAATCCAGCCCATACCATTCCAAGAACACGAGCACTAAATGAATGTGGAGTACCTTCACCAATCCCAGAATTTAATAATACAGCCCAAGCAAAGTACACTGCACTACTTAAATTCATACCTTCTTCGTCTTCTTTTTGTTGTTGTTGTCGCAGGTGAGTTAGAGTTAGTGTATTTTTGTCATTAGTTTGTTTTTCATTATCAAACTGGCGTAAAGTTGAATGACTGCCACTTCCATCGACAGACATATCAAGATCAGAGTTTGTTCGACTAAATGGTGAAAAGTGATCGAGCAAATATAATACAAAAGCGACAACATGTACAGACAAGGCTACAAGAACCCATAGTGAACTTTCAAAAGGTTGAAGGAATGAACCAAGATTGGATCGAGCACGTTCCTATGAGAAAAATAAAGCACACCAAAGTGTATATTATATATTGCATTGTAAAATGCTTTAAACGAATGTAGTATCTTGTTACATTAGGTGGAAACTAGAAGTTCTGAAATCACCCTTGACCCTAACTTTAGCAGATCATTTGTCATGGATGCAGACTGCTAGGGAGTTCCATACTAAGACAAAACGGCCATCCAGAGCTTCTATGTTTTCAATGGTGGTCTAACACTGATTGGTTCATGATTTTAGTGAAACTCAACATTCTCCACAACCTTATACTAATATATATCTGTCATATAATTTGGAGTATTCTATAGTTCAGTTTGACGCTGAAACTTGTGACATTAATTTTATTTTGTTTTATGAGCAGTTAGCGATGATCTGTTTTTTTCCTTATCGATTACTTTGACAGTTGAAGTAATCAAAACCGTGAAAATTCGACATTAATTTAAAATTGAATCAACCAATTTCCGCTTATAATTATTTATTATTTCTACAAATCTCATTATCCATTCACTAAACATGACCCTGCTTAATCATAAACCTCAGGTCTAATATTGTATGTATGTGAAACGTACAATATTTCAGTATTTGTGAACCGAACATGATTAGTAGCCATTTTCCAAACTACACTGAACCAAAACATAAAATAAAAAGCATGTAATTTAAGGTTTACAACTAACCGTTTAAATGTTATTTCTTACATCACCGAATGACCGTAGCTAGACAAGCATTAAAACAAAGAAACACCCGTTTCACCCTACTACGGGGTCCCTCGGTAATGTTTATCCACAAAAGATGGTTGGGCAATAGTGCGAACTGACTGGGATTAGAAGTATAAACCAGTTAATGCTGACTCAGCGATATAAAGACCAGCAGCTTGCCACAATGTCTAACGATTCTGGATCCGGACCCTGATAAGTTCGTAGAAGCACACTAATATGGAGTCCTACATTAGGACGAAACGGCCATCCAATAACTTATGCTTTCCAATGGTTGCCTAATTGAAATCAGTTTGTGTTGGAGACTGTAAAATTCAAAACTCCTTACAAAACTCTACACTTAATATCCAAATAACAGATCAAAACGTACTCGTTTCACTAGAATAGTTATTCCCAAATATTTGAATGGCTTAGTGAATTCAACTCGTGCAGCTCTTTCCGGTGTAATAGAGACTGGTGCAACAGCTAGGTCAGCTGTACCAGACAAAATTTCACCAATAATACCAGTCCATTTATGTGTTTCATTTTCATCAACATCACCTATTTGTCCATCACCAACTAAATGTAAATCATATGTGAATGGTGTAGAAGTTAATTCTAGTCCAGTCCTATTAGCCAATAATCGGAGAAGATCAATACAATAACCATAACAGCAATAATGTTTCTTGACGCCTTCAAGATAAATTGATGAAGAAAAAAGAAAAAAAACATGAACAGATAAAAATATTTGACAAAAAATGACTGTGTATAAAATAAATCATTTTTTAAGTTAAACATTCTAGAAATTAAATGTAAGTTGAAAAAACAGTAAAATGAAATTAAGAATATCCAAAATATCGAACTTCATTATTTAGTTATAAGTGACAAGTTTTATCTTTGAATTCGAAGTTCTATAACTATGGAAAATTGGATTATCAACCAGACACTGACGTACAATTATGTAACAGGTTTAGTCTCAACCTTACTTCAAGAATTAGCTCTATTCGAAACTAAGTTATTTAGTAAATGGTATCAATAATGAATGTTAGTGATGCTGTGAAATGTGCTGATTGATTAAACACCATTTATGCACTTCAGGAGAATTTAATAAAATGATACTTTGATCACAAGCGCATTAGATAAGAGATTATGATTAGGTTTTAAGGAACTGAATGGATCAGATTGACAATGTAAATTGATTATTTAATGAACTGAACAAGAGTTCAAATTCTTAATGACAATAAAAACGTAAATGGAAAAGCAAAGTGGCTATTGACTAATTTCTTTAGAGAACTGAGGTAAAAGAGTATAATTTCACCATAAATTAATGATTCAAACCTGCATAATCACACAAACAAGAATACATAGATCACTTAAAATATTAACTCATGCTGTTTTAACTATTCTTATTACTTCCAGAATATTTATCAGCTTACTATAGACTTGTATTTTTTTACTGATTCCATATAGCTGTACATCAACATATTAGCGTATTAGCACAAGCTAATTGAAATTAAAAAATCTAGAGCTGTAACTGTGAAAACCTTAGTACTTTAACAGGGAAACCATGTATCGGATGCCACAAAGACGATTGATGAAGGATTAGTTAACACTAGAAATACATCAAAATGGTATCCCAACAAACTTATTTTTGTAATGACTTCTTTGCAGCCAGATTAACAGTTAGATCTGCTTAAGTTGAACTGAGTAGTACTTGATATTAATTAATAGCACAATGTTTAAACCCGCTTACAATATCAATAAATTAATCGCTTGTAATCAACAGATTCAACTCATTTACTAAGTTAGATTATTACTTCTTCCTAAGATATGATTACACGTCATAATCGATTTAAAAAAAAAAACAGTTTTCCATGCCACTAGCATTTCAGATATTTACGTTCTTCCTCTCCATTTCATTTATTTTGCCTTTTCCTATGATACTCAGTTTATAAACCAGTTTGTCATTGTCAACAGAATTTTGGATGAATGAAAAATACAATCAGACGGATATTTCCGAGCATTTGAGAGCGCAAATGATCAGAGATACTAAATAATGAATGCAGTATCCGCTGAGCTACAAATAGCCACATGTTTATTCAATTTGCATGTGAGGTTATATCGAGGCAACCCGCTCATGATACACGTATAGTAGCACAGACTGATCAGTTGCTGTATTTAGCACCAAAAACAGGAAATTACGCAACCTTACTTTTAAGGAGTAAACATTGAAAATTTAGTCACATGAGCCAGAAGATTAAACTTCATAATTAAATATAGTAACTACAATAAAAATGAGCAACTATACAATCAAATAACATGATTATTTTCAGTGAAGAAGATTGTCATGTAATGTCGTAGATTGATTTAAGTTAGAAATGAACACCTCTGAATGCCGGCTCAATGGTCTAGAGATTAAGAATCAGAGCGCGAGAACGGAAGTCCTGAGTTCAACTCCAGCATACAGGGCTATGGGTGCGAAATGCTGAATAATTTTGTATTAAGAAGAAAGAACCGTCCAGTGCCTTCAAGTTTTACAGTGGTGGTCTAACTTAGATCGGTTCATGATTTCAAGGAAGCGTTATTATTAAACCAAATTACCAAGTAAAGTCTAATAGACTAACAAAATTAGAATTCAACAATGAGAGTTATCATTTTAAAACAATTATCACTAATGGTTTTAAGTGTAGTTTATCATGCTTTCCTTCAGTATGAATAGGTCACATCAGCATTGCTCAATGACAGTGACTTCAATAACAGTCTTCATTATCCATTAATTATTATTAGTGACACAAATACATTAGTGGTAACGTTTCAAGTCGTGAAATTGGCTGACATGAGTTCAAAAATACCAGGGAACACCAGGACTCTTCGTGATTACAGAGATGGCTTGTTGATGAGTCCAAACTAACACCAAATCTGGGTCCAGGTTCTCCGTTAACTACCTTTGATCACCGTGTAACCAAGACCATTAATGACACCACAACTTCATCGATAGAATTCGATCAGTACTGAAAGACTAGACACAACGACATTCGTCACTACTCAGTGGATCATCAGTTACATTAAGTATCTATTAAATATTGCTGTTCATGCCTTTCTTCAAATATCTTGATTTCCAGTTCCTCTATGAACATCCATGTCATTGTCACTAATTAAAGTATGTGTAAACTATTTGTAATCTGTCTGTAGACGATGAAAAACGTTCAGGTAAAAGTGATTAATTAATTTTATTCTGCAAGTTTTGTCATCCTTCTTTTGTTTAGAACTACCAAGGTAAATAAATGTATTCATAACAGTTACAAATGAAATGTCAGTCATTTATTTACTGAAAGTGAGAAAATTAAGCAATAACACAACAATTTTCAACATATTTATTCTAAATGATTGTTCAAAAATGTATATAGGAATAATAAACAGGTCTTTATCTTTGAAATAAAAACAACTGACATACCAGTAGTCGGGTCAGTATGAGTACATTCAATTTCAGTTTTAAAAACTAAGGGATCATCAGATTCATTACACTTATCAGTTAATTTTGGACGAGTTTGTACGAATGGTATACTTTCAATAGTTACAACCTAGAGAAAAAAGAATTAAACAAATTAATTTTAATAGAAGAGATATTGTACTTTAAAGCAATCAATAATACACATCTTCATTACGGGAATACTATTTATAACCTTATTACAATTGTCACGGTTACCTTGGAAAATCATTTCGAACAACACTTTGGTCAAACTAAATTATTTGCATTATCAAGAATGTTAAAATTAAACACTAAACAACCGCAAAGACTGAAACACATTTTACGCAATGGTTGAGTATATTTAGATCGTAGTTTTTACTCGTTTGATTATAACACTCTTGTATGAAACGATAACTTGAATCTAGATTTGTTGCTAAATCACTGTTGTTAGCAAGTTCATTCTGAGATTAATAATGAACTAATGTTCTCATCTGGATTAAAACATGCATCACCTAGTATACTTAAGAAGTAGTGTTTTCTCTTCGGTAATATTAATCATTGGAACTGATCCATTTGTGTCAGAATACATAACCTTGCAGACCCAAGTTTTATTATATTTGAATTGTGGATATTATTGGCAATCTTGATGTAGTAGCTAAGTTGATAGGCAGTTGGCATTTGGAATTGTTGGTCTCAATTCTTCGTGTAAACACCAACAGTGCGATGCAGATACAATCGACTGATGAGTTCCAAACAGAACACAAAGCATGTCCTGAATCTCACTTTACCGAAATCCAAATACATTAAACCTATCAATCAATGTTACATATATATAAACATTTTCAACTGAGCAAATAACTGAATAAATCGGATTCAAAAATCCAATACAAAAATGAATTAATCGAATTATGTTTCACAGTCACTAGTGTGTTCTTTTTTAGAAGAATAAATGATGTTACATTAGATAAGACATGTCGTACAAGTTAAAAATACCAAATCATATTAAAATTTTATTTGTTTTCACTAAATACTATAACTGATGAAACAATATTCCTACCATAAAAAGCTTATTTATCGTAAAATGTGATAAAGACAATCATTAATAATAATAAACATTTGATTCTAAATTCGATGTTTGCTTATTTTTATTTCTCAAGAATTTTTAATAGTTGAAATCATGAGTCGATCCAGGCTAGACTGTCATTGAAAATCTGGAAACACTGGACGACTGTTTCGTCCTAGTATGGGATTTTTCAGCAGTGCGCATCTACGATCCCTCACTCATTACAAGAACCTATGACCTTCAGTCTCTCATGAGAACACTCAACCTCAAGACCCCTGAGCCGGCATCAAACGGCGTTAATGTCTAACTTCAATCAATCCATGATCTTGCACAACCATTCATTTATTGTCTGAGGTAGATACCTGTCTCTACTCGACAAGGACTGGACTTCAGTGGCCATGGCTTCAACCATTGTTAAAATTAATATTCTATTTTCTCGTTTTATTTTCAGAAAAACTTTACCATAAAATTAGCCTGATCTTGTGATCAATATTCAAAAGAGGAAAACATTTTACACATTTACTTTGATTATTACGGTTATATACTCTTCTATTGCACAATTAACTAAATTACTTTATTTTCATCTCACTATATTTCGTAAAGTTAGTTTAAATCGATATGATATTTTTGTGTCCATTAATTTGTAAACATCTAGCTAATTCACGAGTTGATCTAAGCCAGATCACCATTGGAAACCTGGAAGCATCGGACGGTCGTTTCGTTCTAGTATGGGACGCCTCAGTAATGTGCGTCTACGCTCCCGCATGCCGGGATTTGAACCCAGGACCTTCGGTCTCGCGAGCGAACACTTAACTTCTAGACCACCGAGTCGATATCGAACAGTTTTCAGTGGTGTTCTAGCTTAGATCGACTCGTGAATCCAACTGTTCAAAATACTACAATACAAAAACTCCCTTACTGATATATCTAATTTTTTAATTATGTGGTTTTGAAAATTATCAAAATTAACTCACAGTTTTCAATCATTTCTTATTCAGTGCCACATTTGACATTTAATTTTCATTCAAACATTAAAAACACGAGGTTCAGAGAAGCTTTCTCTTTTAAACGATTATATATATATATATATATATATATATATATATATATATATATATATATATATATATATAAATTTTATTAAATTATTAGTTTCGTGAGGACATATCAACAAGGAATAAACACGATGTAAGAGAAAGATTGTAGTACGGGATTACGTAATGTAAATAATAACAATAAAACATTGTGTCTATGAAAATAAAAAGAGCCTGGTAAAATTAATACGTTAGCAACAGATTATAATGTGACTGAAGTAAGGTGATTAAAATATTTTGGTTACTATAATCAAAGGTAATAGAAGGGTTAAATCAAATGTAGTGATAACAGAAACAGATATAGCTAGAATTATTAGGATATGAGACACAATTAAAGAGAGAGAGGGTATACTTCCAAATACGAACTATAATAATAATAATAACAATAATAATAATAATAATAATAATAATAATAATAATAATAATAGGTAATGATAATAGTAATGGTTTAAGGCCAAAGTAACAACAAGGATAAGAATTACTATTGAATGCGTATGACATTTTCATTTATTCAATAGAGTCAATACATCAGATGCAGTCCAAAACACCAATGGGAAAACTCAAACAAACAATACAAAAATGTATCACTTATATTATTTACAGTAACTTTTAAAATGGCACCAAATCTCTCCAGTGTCAAATTCGGATATGTAACTAAAAACTCCTAAATTGACTAACCATAATAGACAAGATGTTCTTGCCGAAAATTTTAAGATAGTATCTATCTACCAGGAAATGCAAATAAATGAATATAATCGATTTCCATTAGAACTACTAATATAAAATAAATAAATAAATAAATGCAAAATATGTTGATTATACTGATCGTGTAAGTGAAAGTTTATTTATTTATTTATTTATTTTAACACATAGATATTGGTACAAGGAGGCACCAAGTACATATGCGCCACACAAATCTCATTTGATATGTATGAGGGCCGAGATAATGCTCGGGTGCCCAAACCGAAATAAAAGTCTAAATTTCATCAGTCTCCGATTACTTTTAATGTTATGATTAAACATAAAGATACCATTGACGTGACGGATAGGAAAATTCTGAGACAGAAAATCGATAGAGTTCCCGCAAAGTGAATAATTTAAGGCAAAATCCTCTATAATTATACTTCTGAAATTCCCAGAAAGAATTGTACTTCATGTTACTTTAAATTACTAACCAATGGTTTTTCATTCACAAAACTGTCTGTCAGGTTGAGAGTCATAGAACTTCATTGACTAAGTACCATCAGTACTCCACAATTACAATAAATTAATCATACTCAACAAGCAAATCTAGGGAACTATGATATATATGCTAAATGAGGCGAGTTTAGTTGTTGATATTGCTTCCATCGTGATCTGAAATAAAGTGAGAATATCCGAATAAAAATTCCATAGTTTTGGTGTGAATATAAACAGTTCGTACGTCAGGTTGATATCGAATTCATTCAAAATTCTTTACAAAATGATCACTTATATGAGGACTGAAAGGAACACTTAATGTGATACATTACAAAAAGTATGCTAACCAGTTAACTAAACAAATATATGTAAATATTAGTACAATCAACTTTACAAAAAAACTTTCGATAATAATCAAAATATTTGTGAGACTTTGAACATAATACATACTTTTAAATGTGTTTTCTTTTTAAAACTAATCGGTGCTGCATGTACCAGTCGTTTTTCAGTTTTTTGACATTTTCCATCATTAGCACGTTGTATACATACCAACTGTTGACGTTTTACAATACTATTACCCGGCCAAATTAATTTACTTAAATTGATTGACAACAGAGAAGGATGAGGTTCATCAGATAACCATTCCATAGGGGTTGGCTTTCAATTAAAGATTGAAGATAAGGAAATTTTAAATAATGACATAAAGTCATTTTTGATTTAAAAAAACTCAATATGGCTTATGACTTATTCATTGCTGACTTAATTCTTCAATTCAAAACAAAAGGAAATGTAATACTCTGGTAATAATAGATCAAGGATTTGAGTTTCTAGACAGTGACATCTCATGAGGCTTTTGATAGAACATAACTGAGTTTAGGCCAACATGTAATTCCGATGATCATATGTTTTGTAGTATGGATAGTGAATAGGGAAATCGTTTCGCTACTTTGAATTGTAACAATTTTTTATATAGAGGAAAAAAGCCAATTGATCATCAAGCAATTCAAATGGGACTTTATTTAATAAATGACTTCTGAATTAACTGGTATTCTTGGAGGGATGAATAAGAGCTATCTATATTGACTGGTCAAAGAAAATAGGAGCAATGGTTTACTCTAAGATATATTATGAGTCATATTAGGGGTTTAACAGTCTTTCTAATGAGATTTTTCATCAACTAACAATAACCATTTTTAACTTCTTAGAAACAATCAACAAATATATCTGAAAAATAAGTTTATTTTACTGATTAATATTTCTTTCTTCATTTGAACAATTTGATATTAAAGAACAAATGAAACCCGTGTTTTCATTGCAGAAAAATTAAAGGTTTTTCAGGGAAGAGAATTTTTTTTCAATAATTTACTCAATTTAAGCGGTTCAGTAGTATATAATTATTTAAAATGTATTTTAGTTCTCCACAAAACAGAAATAAAAGTATATAGAAAAAGTGTACCGGCATTTTAAGTGTCAAAATGGATTGCGTAACAACCAGGAAATTGAAAGAAAATTATAAGATGAAATTGAGTATATGATAAAGGTGAGGACGAAAACAAGACGTGAAAATGTAAATAACAAATAATTAAAATTTAAAAACGTCAAAATAAAGTATAAACAGTTAGTTTTCGGTTTATGAAAAACCAATTTTCAGGTTCATAGTGAAATTAGATCTTGCTCTCTGAGTTCAGGTTAGAGAGGTTGGATTGTTAACGCTACTGCCATATAAAAGGTAGTGGTTTTCACTGCCTTTCAACTCAGTCATTTAACCGCGTATATAGTTTTCAAGGATATCTCTGAGCAGTGGGGACAAGTGTGACTGGAGTCGGCGAGATACTTAAATACGGAATCACCGATTGCTTTACATTTTCCTTCTAAATGTCATACGAAGAAACACGGATGAGGATAAAATCCAGTCACGTTCGCAATTTTGACCTTGAACCTGTCGACTAGATAAAGACGTACAAAGGGACTTACGTTTCTTCATTTATTCTTGTTAAATAATTACTATGAGACAAAAATTTAAACCTCCAGACAGTTCTGTGCAGACTATTTTTTTTCAAAATATTCGTCATTGGAGTAAGAACTACGATGAAACAGTTATTAAATACAACCTAGTTTCTAAATGTTATTCAGAATAAGTTCTTTTTTTACGGAAATCACCTTTGATCTGAGGTAATGGAGAAAATTTTAAGCTCAGGATGAGAATGTTGGACGTTTCCCGGTCTCTGAGCTAAACAATTCAAATGGGAAGCTTCCATTGTCCTTCTGATCAATATCATCAGTACGTGCTTGAAAGGAAAATACGTTGTGCAGAAGAGCAATCAAAGCTTCACAATTAAACCATTCCACTCAAAGACCACAGCACCTACAACATACTTTCCATCTGTTTGTAAAATAAAATATGTTATAGTAGGTTGATAACGAACGGCTTAAATATAACAATCAACTTATAAATAGGAAAGGTTTTTTAAAATATAACACAGAAAATGTAAACTGAAACGAATCGCTCATCATATAAATATGCGTATATACTTGATGTACACCGTAACTTCCAACAGAAACTAATGTTGGCCGTTCAAACTCAAATGATTTTTGTGCAGATAAATTATTTATGTCCTGATTAGTTATTTGAGCATTTACAATATCATAAATTGGTTTAATACGATCACCATATTCGTTGAATTCCAAATGACCAGTTCGACCATCAGTTAAATTCATTGCTAACATGTCTCTGAAAGTGAAATACAAAAATGTTTAAAAATCTCCACGTGATCTATGGTGATACATTCATTCATTAACTTCCCTTAGATCTTCGGGTTCAAATTATCTTACATGTATTTTTCACGCCATGAATTCATTCTTCTCGAACTAACCATCTATATCTGACCTTTTCTACTACTTCTTTTTTGGCATTTGTCCTGGTAATTTCATCTTGCCTGGCTGATTTGGTATCGCAACTTGAACTAGTACACAAATGTTACAGCTGACTGAGTAGGAACAAATAATGCAAGTGAAAAATAACGTCATTCACCACGATAGTTCTTTGTTCTTTAGCAATTTTTTCCAACCTAAATAACTTATCTTAGTGAACGTTTATTCTTTTTTTCATTGGTAAACAAACAAAAAACATGTTACCAACCTACATAGCTACCACACTTCATATCTACAGCGTTAGAGGTCAGACATAGAATGCACCTTATGTTCAGTAATAACTCACCAACATTCTCAAAATAAGTAATATCCACAAACCTTATAAACTTTCTGTCCCATTGTGAATCTGTTTCATTCCAAATATGGCGGACGACCGTTTGATAGTCTTCTTATCTTTGTAAAGACATTCATTGAGCCTTTATTTAGTTATTCAGAAAAGAAATATTACTCAAATCAATAATATTTTATTAATTTATTAATTTTTATTCGTAACTCAAGGCTGATTTGTTTGACGAAGTGTTCCTAGAATCTGAAGGCAGTTTCATATACCAAAGTTCCAATATTTCTCATATTAAAATCAGTATGTAATAAAAATTACCGACAAATCTAATGAAATATTATTAACAAAATAAAGTTTTCACTTTAGATTAATGATGACAGATGGCATTTCCAGTTTATTGTCGATGGAATGTTAATTGATTATTGAATCTAATTTTATTGAGATGAAGATTACATCTCGATGTGATCTTTGCATTCAATAGTTGAAAGCTCTATCGATAATTTAAAAATTTGCTTCTAATTATTTAAATGGTCAAGCAAAACAGACTAGGCCCTTGAGTGGGTATCACATCCAATCATTTATTTTAAGCTGTTTATCAATGTTGCCTAAAACTAAACTGTAAACATAGGAAATACAATATTAATAAATAATTTGGGATAATCAAACCAAAAAATACAGTTGGGTTGAAAACTTATGTAAAATTGAGCACTGAAAGTATTTCAGTTAAGTATATTTTGGTGTCGAATGAAAATGTTTATGAAACAAAAAGCAATCCTTTGTTTTACACTTTAAAGATTTGAAATCGCATAGTGAGAAATCTGGTAATACTGTCTTACCAGCTTAACTCACCGGAAGAGTTTGGCTGCGTAATCCTTCCACATATAGGTCGATTTACCAGGTAGCTTTGATTTTGATTGAATTTCTGAAGGATTATCACTACATGCTTTAACTGAGTAAAGATGTTTCATCGCATCATAATCGGTACGAACTAAGTGAAGAATGCTCTGTGTGGCGATTCTGACTGCATCGGCAACGTGATCTAGTTCGGTAACTTGAAGTAACCGGACACCAATCACACCTTAACAACGAGTTGTTATGTAAAATAAAAAAGGATCTCTGAAAATATCAAACAATGGCAAATGTAAATCTTTATAATATTTTAAACCCTACTATTTTTGGTAGCATGAGAATTTCTTAGTCTAAAATTTTGAGATAGTAGTCCAAAGTGGATTTCACTTAGATAAAAAGTACTCAAACAATGGGATTTTCTGACAGTGTCTGGTATCAGCCCGTGAATTCGGTTGAGTATTTTAAAGAATACTGACTTCATATCCGAAGTGTGGGTGATAAGTTCATGTCTTAGAACTTTAGGCGACATCGTTGAAAATCATTTTCATTACGGTAAGCTCACTTGGCATTTATTTCGTTCAGTTCATTTATTTTCGGACTAAACTTCATTCCGCTCATTTCTCCGTTTTACTTGTTGTCTTTAATTTGATTGTTTTAGCATAATTTTTACTTCCACACGTTTTGTTTCTGGCTGTGTAGAAAAGACTGACAGCAACTCTGATTGATCCACGTATATGACAGGTTCTAATTTCACTATAATCAAATGATTTAAAGTTAGTAATTACACGTTGGATATTGTAATGTCCTCTTGCTTAGTATTTTCCTTACCATAGCAAACGGTGAAACGATATGATTGTAGTTAAAGTAATGTGACTACTCATAATTAATAAACGGCAAGTTGTTAAAAAACACTGCAAAATAATATCCAGTTGAATTTCGAGTGAAAACACCAGATCCATCAGAATTTTGTTAACGACTCTTTTAAAAGCTTTGTGGATTAGTTTCACAAAACACATCTCTTTAAAACTTTTATTAAACACAGTCAAAATAACTATTAACTTACCATTTGGTATATTTGAAGCATCCAAAGCCTGTTCAGTGACAATCCAAGCCCATTCTGCCTCCAGCATGCCCAGTTTACGTGCAGCCAAAAACACATACTCTGCAAACTTGCGGCGTAAAAACAGCAAAATAACTCGTGTTTGTTCGTTTCGAACTGGTTGCAAGAGACTGATAAAATCCTTCATTTGAGCAGCATCCTCTTCATCTGTATTGATAGCAACTTGACGAGTAATCTTTGAAAGTATTTAACAGAACTACCTTCACATTACAAAGTAGCAAGTGTTCAAGGAGACTAAAAGGCACTCAGTAATATAAAATATTTCGTATAAAACTACAGTATATAATGCTTAGAACAAATTATATTTCCTTGGACTCAGTAATATTGAAGAATCACATAATCTTTAGAGATGACGAAAGTGATAGCGGTTAGTACCCAAATCCCCGCACATTAATTCTTTAACCATTTTATCTAGATCATATGAAAGAAGATATATGACTCAATCTAAAAATTGAAATTTCAGTCCTTTTCTGTTGTTTTCTATGAGAAATTTGATATTATATACATTAGAAAAATAAATATTTACCGTTGTAGTATTAGTTTCTAACGCTAGCTAGACCATCTCAATAATGTGAATGAAAAGTAAAGCCCACATAAGGCGCTTACTTTATAAATAAAATCTCTAGACAAATGCGATTTTCTTTGTGCAGCAATCCATTTTTTTAATCAAAACTAATAACACTTCTGTCCATACTAATACCTATAAATTAGAAACGTCAGCTTAACTTAAATAAACAGTGGTGTTATTATAGTTAGTTAAAATATTGTGGAAAGAGTGAAGAATGTTTGTAAAGATTATGATTTAGCCAAACAAAAACATAAAGCTCTAATTTTTCGACATTACTGAAAGAGCCAACTAATAGGTTTAGTAGACTGATCGCCACAGAAGTGGCAGATACACCAAAAACTAAATGAACTGAAAGTTTAGTAAAAATATCGTATCATAATTGTAGTAACGGCCTTCTGTTTTCTGAATAATAGTACTGCGTTTGTTACAAACGTAGTTACTTCTTTTGAACTTTGATCTTGATCTCAGAATAACTACTTTACACTCTAAAATGTGAGTGCATTGACAAGGATGCCAATCCGACACTGATATTTTTAATATGCCAGTCACCCCAAACAACTTACATCAGTCATAAAAAAGTCTTGTCTCAATATAAATTAAATTGTGACAAGTTAACGTGTTACCCCTTTTGTTTTATTCTTGAAATCAAAAATATTTTCAAAATTTTGACTGATTATCGTGTTGAAGAACGTACGGTAATCTTAACAACACATAATATTAGGGGAACCTGGTTCGGAAAAACGGAGGGTTGTATGATGAAGATCTCTGGCATAGGTAAAACTTTAGTTCAGAATTAACATAATAATGACTAGATAATCGATATATCATGCTTTTAAAACGTTAATGCTGCTAATTTATACCTAACTGATGCAGTTTAACGTTTGTATATTTCCTAAGTCGTATCACTTGCTTAAATGTAAACGCCTTAAGTTATCCTGTTGAGTCCTCAGCTCACGACCTTTTTCGTCTCCAATTATCACACATGCTACCCTTCAGACTCTTACGACCTACGATGCATATCTAGGCTATATGTAAGCTTGTCAAAGACTAACCGCTACTCATTAACTAAATAGCTCAAACTGTAGTTTCATTGATGGGCTGGGCGCTACTAGTTTTTCAGATGCCTTTAAGTGAAGACAGATAACTTATGTGAAGATATCCATATTTTATATGGGTTTAAGAAGGTTGAGCAAGAATTAAAATGTCAAATCAATCAATGTGGCACGAACAGAACGCATGAGTAAACATATCACTGCCTAATATATTACTGTTTCGCCTGGTCTACATTTACGCAACATGAGATTTCACTGATTTCAAAGTAAAAATGTTACATGGCTGCAAGTCTTGATACATCCACATAAATTACCTTTTCCATATTTTACATGCAACTGAGAATTATTTTATTTATCATTGCAATGTAGGTTCGATAAACAACGACTTATGATGATTGTCATTTACACGTGAAAATCAAACAAATTAAGTACCTGAATATGTTACTTGTAATAAGTAAAGACAGTCATCCCGAGTAATCACTGTCCAAATCTGAAGCTCTTACCAAACAGCCGACTAGACTTTAAAACTCCGACAACACCAAAGGCCGAATTTTTCGAAAAATTACTTTAACTTACCAAAGGAAACAAAGTTAACCGTAGAAACTAAGCTATAAGAACAGGTAAGGTAAATCAAACGATTCGCCTTCTTCCTTATAGTTATTTTTGACGATTTTATAGGGGATATTTTGTCATGAAATGAGTCTTTTTTAATTTCAAAAGCAGAATAAGGAGAGGTAAACTGCAACAGTTTTGGACTATGAAACGCGAAGAAGACTGTCATTAACCAGTAGAGGCTTTCTGTAAGTTGTGAAGTCTGAATTGAAAAAGCATGTAATTAAGTTTAAAACGTTGTTAATATTCTTTACTTTTCCCATCAATATTTAATGAGATGAGAGTTTAATTCCATATTAATTCAATGATAAACCACTAAAGAAATGACCATTGACTAACCTTGAAGTCTATTCCTCTTTGAGAAGCGGACTCTAAGTACGACAACACCTTTTTGGCATCATGGTCATCTGAATGAATTACACAGACTTCGCGCCAACCAAACGCTTTTATTAAATCAACCCAAACAGATGCTTCATTGCTGAATGGTGGAACTGTACGGAGAAAGCTGCCATGGCTGTACTTGTCACTGAAAATTGAGTGCCTTGCACTAACTCCAATAACCGGTAGGTGATAAAATGCACAGGTAAATGACACGGATAAAGGTGCAGATCCAGGTGCTCCATTTGGATGGGAGATTATTAGAACAAACATTCGACCCTCTGAAGAATTGAACAGGTTACAGACCTGATTTGTCGCTTTAAGAGCATTTAGAGCAAGAGTCTTAAAAATTAAAATTAAAACTGAGGTACCTCTCCAGCAGCTTTGAAAGTGATTGCATCATCATAAACGCTATCCCTGACGGATGAAACCATCCTTTTAAAACCAGAAATAACCTCATCATCACTTAACAATGCACCGATTGTAAATTCTAAACAGTTTGATCGATTTAACAGAACCAGTATAATCAGACTATGATATGCTATCATTCTTAAATTAGATCATTATTTTGATCCAAAATAGAAAATATTTTCAAAAAGACATTTCTAAAAAGTACAGATGTGATGGCGTATTTAAACAAAATCCACATTTGTATTCAAAAGTTAAACATGCGCAAACGTTAGTTCCTTAAAATTTTCATCTGTACTATGAGTCAAAATATTCAGTTACAGAAAGATATAGTTCCGGCTAACAAAATATTATTTGATAAAGAAATGTAAGTGAAAGAAGATGCACAAAACAATATTCCTTAATACAGTTGAAAGTGAAGTAAAACTTCCAGATTAAATTTGGCTAGATCACTAGAAAACCTCGATAATATGTTTTTGGAGGAAATTATACAACTTCCAGACTATGGTCACAGAAATAGTGTTCACTTGATTTCGTGTATCATCTTTCTTGTTCTACCAACAAATAAACATTCTTTAGGTATAAGTCACCAATAAAACAATAAACACATGTTATTTCGAAGAGGATTATGGATGGCTATGATAAATCACGATCATATGCCTTCTAATGCTTCTGTAATTCATGAAATCCCATTTCGTTTAAAGGTGTCACGGATATTCCGGGCCTGCTAACCCTTTTGTCCCTGAAACCATTTCAATCGAGGTTCCAAACCCAGTCAACTCTTGTGTTGAGAATAAAAGAGTTCAATTATATGTCTGATCAGTAGTCGATGTTTCCTAAATATCTAACTTGACTAGTTGTTGAGAGGGATGTGTAGAATGGTGTTCACAATGGTGTCGTTGTGCGGATGATTACCGAGAGCCTTCAACCAGCAAAAGTAATAAGGACAGCTTCATAGTCAAAGACCTATAAAACTATTTGTTTCGGCGATTTATTTACCGCCACATGTGTATTTCGGCATATCATAAATGACTCAATACTTTGCTTAGTAACTTTTTAACTATTTTTTGTTGATTGTTTTACCCCGCCACAAGTTCACAGTTGCTTATTTCTTCTCTTTTTTGGACGTCACTTTATAATTTATCTTGGCTGGCGTCCGAATGAAGTCGGTTTATGTTGTGAGGTGTTAGCTCCACATCAGGTGGATAAGTATGGACCCTTTGATGTTACAGTCACACGTTTGAGTTCAGTGGCCTCACTGTCAGTAAATGAGACCCTGGTAACTCGCAAAATGTAATGGTCCTTTATCATTCTATTAAATTCTTTATCAGTATTATTATTTACAAACACCTTATGGGTACATAAATGTTGTGAAGAAACCATTTCGGGTTTCTTTAAAAAATGCAATAATACACAAGTTTCAATAGTCTTAGCATTATATTTGTCATATTTGAAAAAAGAGAAAAAAAATATAATAATGAAAATAGAATAATAATCATAAATCAGGTTCTGTTGAATTGAGAAGAATATTAAGTCGACTTTAAAGAAGGAAAGGGAGAAAATAAGGGAATAGGAATAAAGAGACGTGAAATACGCTAATATTTTATTAAGGGTGTTTATGAGCACATAACGAGAATAGACGACTATGTACGTATAGTCAAATTAGTAACCAAAATAAAATAATTAAAAAATGAGAAAAAACTTGTTCTCGCAGAAAGATATGACGTTAGAATAGGTGTTTGTGCATTCATAGTTTGTTCTGAATCAAAATATATTTGGTCTTTTCGCTGAAATTATTCTAATCAAACCTCAAACTCAAGTTTAATGTCCACATTTTTTCACCAGCTTGTATTAACCGATTGATATTGTTGCGCTTGTTTCTTATTATTCCGATACAGTCCCACGCATTTCACGATGTCCGATGAGTGGTAGCCTAGTCACTCAACTGAACTGATTCTAGTCAGTTTGGTAGTCATTTGTGGGCCCGCATATCTTGTGGTTTGAGTGAGTATGTTTATCTCAGGACATTGGGGTTCCTAGATACCAGCAGCTATCACACTACCAGACAGGTTTGTTGAGTGATAATCCAAATGCTGAGAGATAATTATTTCAAGAATAATAAAGTAGTTAATTATGTGCTAGTGCCTAAGAAGATGGAACAAACAAGAGAGGTATGCAGCTGATTATAGGAGATATAGGACTTGGTTACTGATATGTGGCGATGATAGTTTTAGTAACTTATGAGACATGCATCAGATATGGATGGTTTGCGAGAGGGTTGCCAATCCTTGAGTGAGCAAGTGTTTGTCAGGTACCCTTCACTTCCGCTAGGAGGCCATTCTGATTGCAGAGGACTGCTAATTAAGAAAGAGGGAGCTAACCTGGGCGTTCGCTCTCTGATGTGTATTCTTTCGAATGAACAGTTGTGTTTACTTTGTCTACATCCTCTATGTGGTTTGAACTTATGTCTAAGCTCTCCGTGGTTACTGGTCCGAGACCACGCTCTGAAGAGACTATCAGGAGAAAATTTTCATGTAGGATGTAAGTGCTTTGCGTCAAATGAGGCAGAAGTTTCATGATCGGACATTTCGACAGGTCGTTCTAACTTCTGATCCACTGTCCATTTCTTAATTGTTATGCGATTCTTTGGAAGGTCAAGTGAATTCCTTAATTACGGACATTTAGATCTTCACGTCAACAGTATATATCATTGCCGTCGAGCAAATTTTATTTAACAGATCATTAATAAAGAAAAAATGAAGTGAACCTAAGACGATTTCTTATGAAACCCTAGAGCTGAGAACCTTCAACTCGCGTGCGTCCTATTTACCTTAGAATGAAACATTTTGTTGTTGTTTTTACTCATATACTCCCTTATCTGTTGATTGACTAGTACCTCCATAACCTTCTACAGTATTGGAAGTATTCCAACAAGGGCCTTCCTATCTTGCCCTCTGAAGATTGGGAGAGAGTGGCCTGCTTCCATTCTCTTGGGAGTCGGTGTGAATCTTGTAAGTATGCTTGCGAGCGTAGACTTTTACGCCTATGTGTATTTGTGGGGTATGCGGACTTGTCTGTGTCTTCTATAATTGCATGTAAGGCTTACTAATAATTGCGCCCACCTGTACTAACATGCATATCACTGGAATGTATTTACCTTTGTTACCTGCATTTGAATATATGCATATGAAGCATACTTGGAGGTAGTTCTCATGTTTTCTCAGGCTGCAATTAAACGCAACTCAATTTCGTAAATGTGCCCTTCAGCTTAGCAACCAATCAGAATGAGGCGGGAATTATTACATCCGCCATCTTCGTAAGCAATGGCGGCCGGCCTTCTTCGTTCTGTGCTTCTTTCAGCTATTTCTTTTGTGTAGCTGTGTAATTTAATGTCTCAGTGTGCTAAAATGCCGCAGTTAGTGTAATGTATTATATGTTGGTGTGAAGTTTATTTCGAATCAGCGATGTTTTCTGGGTTTTTGCTGCTTCTACTCAAGTCAATGTATTTCTTCAGGCGATCTGGCTAGTCTTGTGTTATCGGCAAAACGAAAGGAAACAATCTGCGCTTTTTTAAATTTTCTTCAGTATTATGGACAACACTATCCCACCAACGAGTCAAACTAATACAGAGTGCCCAGCAGTAGGGTATATCGGTACTGATTTCGAAAGGACCCAGACTTCCGACAACTATAGATGAAGTCACAGATGCTACCATTCTATTGCAGAGGGTTTGTTATGAAAAATATGCCATATAGCAGTAATATAGGGGTTGTACTCACTATGCAGTGTGTTAAAGCAAGCTTAACATTGAAAAGCCGGAAATCTGCTATCAGTGTGTAGTGTATGTTTGCTGTTTTGGCCATAAAAGGAAGCCGAAAGGTCATGATCAGGGAGTAAAAAGGTAATTAACTGTTTATTAAGCTCACTTTTTTATAGATCATATTTCACCACTCGCAAATTTGTGTTTTTTACGATATGATGTCATCTGGCACCAATGTTCACCCTTACGATGAAAAGTGCCTGAAAATTTTCACCTTCATATTCGAATTATTTTTGGACAACTGTCTTACAGTCTGAGTGCTTCGTACGCCCTGGGAGACTAGATTCCTACATTATTCGTAGTTCCAGTATAACTTTCTCACGCAGTAAGTTCAAATTAGACACTAGTCTTTCTAAATAAGCCTGTTAAGCTAATATCCGTATTCTCTATTTCAGTTTATTGATGAAGACATGTACCACGTGCATCTGCTGTATACTGCCATTTTACTCTAATTCTAACTGTTATATCTTACTTTTGAATAATGAAATTGCTATATGCTGCAAATACAGACTTATTTGTTTTGATGGAGGTAGGGGGGTTCATGGGATTTTCAGCAGGACCGTATTAATATTCTCACTAAAGAGCTAAGCGAGTACCTAAACCAGTGTAAGGTACCATACGGGGTGCACTTGAGTTACTAGTGTTCCATTAGTGCGGGTAGGGGCAATGCTTGCCTGTCATTTGAATTAGAAGCTATAAGATAAGAAACAGGTACGGTTAGGATGTGTAACGCGTGTCCATCCATCAGCTGCCGTGACAACCCATGGTGGTTAGAATAAGTTATGAGAGGACCCGAGTATGTAAGTCTCGCAAGAAAATGAAGATATGCACCAAATCACCTTATGAAAAGCGCCTTCAATCACTTAACCTCTACTCATTAGAGTATAGACGTCTTAGATGTGACCTAATGGCTTACAATAACCCTAACACTTCTGGACATCCCCTAAAACACCTACTTAAGCTTAGTCCCAGAAACCAGCGACACATGGCAGAACGGACTGTAGACGCAACTTCTACTCCTTAAGAGTTGTCAAATGCTGGGATCCGCTGCCCGCCGAGCTAATCCAAGCGACTTCCCAGGAGTCCTTTAAGAGGCAAGTGTATCTATTCTTAAGGGTAGTATCATACTATGATTTACCAATTTCTCTTTCCTCTTTTATTGTTAACATACCTAGGTTCCTGCCTGGAGGTTTTGATGACCCCCCGCTACTAGACACGGAAGCCTGTTAAGCGAAAGCTCCTATTAAGTCCACAACCATTTGAACACATGAACTAGGTGCTGAAAGGCTCGCTTATCACAAGTTTCTTGCAACGATTAAGTAGATAAAACAAAGTAGCATTAGATTCAAAAATTTATTCAAGAACTTTCATTAAGAATCGAATATCAAACAAAGGTTTAAACCAAG